GCAGCGACAGTACAAATACATTGTCGCAGGATGGACGCACTGTGATCCTCGTGACGAACTTTTGATAGGAGGCGCAGCACCTCAGGAAAGGTGCCGCTGTAGGCCACGTTGAGTAACTCAAACGCCGCAATGATCGCCGCGATCTCCGATGAACCCTCGCCAGCTAAGCCGTACAGTACACCGCCGCCGCAGCTTGACGTTATAACCCGATACTCAGTGACACAGAACTTTGAGCTTGGAGACCTCCTCGCCGAATTCAGCGGCTGCTTTGCGACGACGTCGAAACAGCGCCGGGCAACAGTTGCGAAACATCGCTTCGCTACCAACGAAGATGCGCTCCCTGTGCATCGGCCGCCGTACCAGGTCTCCCCAAAGGAAAGAGGGGGCGCATTCATGAACAAGTCCAATAAATGTCCAAAGACCACACCATCCAGCCGTCAAGCAGTCCGTCGGCCCCTCCAGTCGTACTGGTGAAAAAGAAGGACGGAACGCTTCGATTATGCGTGGATCACCGGCGGCTCAACGCGGTGACGAAGAAAGACGTGGATCCGCTCCCCCGCATCGACGACACACTGGACCGGCTGCACCACTCGCGATACTTTTCGCCGATGTGCCTGAAGAGTGGCTACCGCCAGATCGATGTCGACGAACGGGACCAAGAGAAGACTGCCTTCGTCACGCCCGATGGCCAGTATAAGTTCCCTTCGGGCTATGCCCGTCGCCGGAACCTTCCAGCGTGTCACAGATCCCGCACTGGCAGGCCTCAAATGGCAGAGCTGTCTCGCTTACCTCGACGACGTCGTGGTAGTCTCGGAAAACTTCGACGAGCACTTGCGACGCCTTCGGCCCGTATTCCAAGCAATCAGGACCGGCGGACTAACCCTCAGCCGACGAAGTGCCGGTTCGCCTAGGGCGAACTGAAGTTCCTAAGTTACGTTGTGAGCAACGAAGATGTTCGTCCTGACCCCGAGAAAATTCGCGCCGTAGCGGAATTTCCACCTTCAACAGACAAGAAGGCCGCCCGAAGATTCCTGAGACTTTGCGCGTACAGCAGGCGGTTCGTAGGGGATTTCGCCAAGCTTTCTGCGTCGCTCACGTACCTCACAAAAGACGCCGTGAACTTCGAGTGGGGAGAACAGGCATTCAACGAACTACAACCAAGAGGGTACAGAGCGTGATCGCCTACGCTAGTCGGACGTTGTCGAACGCGGAACAATATTACTCGACGACTGAGAAGGAATGTTTTGCCGTTCGTCCGTACCTGTACGCAAGCCCGTTTCGAGCGGTCACAGACCACCACCATTCACTTATTTGGCTCGCAGACCTAAAAGATCTCTCATGAAGTCTCGCACGGTGGAGTCTTCGACTTCAAGAATTCGACGTGTGGTCTACAAGTCCGGCCGCAAGCACAGCGACGCTTATTGTTTGTCGAGGGAACCAGTCGAGTTGGCGTCTGAGCGCACCGACGACAGCGACGACGCCGACGTTTTTTCGGCCCGGTTACCGTGGACAACATTGCAGCACTTCAACCAGACGATCCTGAGCTGCGTGCACTCATCGAGCATCTGGAGGAACGAGGGAGTGAAGTTCAATGTGTCTTCCGACGATCCCTGCCAACCTTTGCTGTTCGAGAAAGTACAAAGCAAACTTCGGCGGCACCAACTCGACGTGGCTACTGGTTATCCCTGCGAGTGTCTTCCAACCGTGCCGTGACGATCCGATGGCAGGGCACCTGGGCTACAGCAGAACACTTGCACGGATTCGAGAAAAATACTACCGGCCCAAGTTACCGAAGACTGTCCACCTCTACGTCCGATCGTGCCGCGAATGCCAAAGACGCAAGAAACCACTGACGAAGCTGGCAGGACTCCTCCAGCCGATCACTCCCCAGACTACGCCGTTCCAGCAGATCGGAATGGACTTTCTCGGACCGTTCCCACCATCAACGCAAGGAAACCGGTGGATCACCATCGCGACCGATTACCTCGCAAAGTAAAAATCGTCGCTGCGACCTCAGCGAAAATTTTGATCCAGCTAGGATTGTTTTTCTTGAAATTCTCCCCCCTTAGACTAGGATTCTTAGTTGCTCTTTTGCCGATAATCACCATTTCTAGCGTTAGTCTAAAGCAGATCACCGAAATACACCGATATATTGAAAATAAATAAAAAAACCGAAAAACATGTGCCCATTTCCCTTATAAACACCAGAAAATAAAGGGATTATTTATAGCTACACTCTTCACATTAAGAAAAGGTAAGTTTTGTGCATTGTTTGCATTGCTGTTAGAAGTAGTCCTAAGAAGATTTGATTGTTGGGGGAAGGAACAATTCTTTTGGCATTTTAAATGTGTACATCTTGGTAAAAAAAAATATATATATATATATATATATATATATATATATATATATATATATATATATATATATATATATATATATATATATTTGCCTAGAACGAGGAGTGAGCTTAGCAGTAGGTTTGCCTAGAACTTGACTGGCTGAACAGCCAGTCAAGTTCTAGGCAAACCTACTGCTAAGCTCACTCCCATATTTTGCCAAGAACACATGACTCCATCAAGGTAAAGTCCCCCAAATCATGCACATTAATGTTTTCCACTTCCCCTCTTGTCATGTGCACCAATGATTGGAACAGCACACCATTTGTGATAGATTGTGACGTGACCCATTGTGCGTCATTTTTTTGACGTGCGAAGGAGCTAACACTCACCAAAGTGCTTTGCTTTTTTTATTGTCATATATGCTTAAATTTTCTTCTTTGTTTTTTGTAAGTAAATTGACACAGGTAGGTGTTACATGGAATATGCAAACCATGTTTCATACTCAATATGAAGAAAGCGAAACAAAAACGGGACAGAGTTCCCTGCTATAGTTTTCATTCATTCATTCATTTGGTTATTGTTTTGGTGCTCGTGAACAGCTTTTGCCTTTGTAATGATGCACAGTATACATCTAGCAAAAAGGGGGTAATATGTTATAGAATTTCCAGTGGCAATCCACCCAAAAAAGAGTGCCTTTGCACGTCGTTAGAAATTCTCTATATGCTAACACACCCTCAATTGGCTAAAAAAAAAAAAAAAAAAATGTCTGAACAATTAGTGTTGAGCAAGATTTCCTGGGTTACCAAAAATCTCCTACCCTCTTATAAACAGGATAACTGGGCGAGTTGGTATGGATTCATAATGGAACAGCGCGAATTTTTGCAAGGACAGAGAAGGAACTGGACAGGACGAGCGCTGTCCTGTCCAGTTTTTTCCTCTGTCCTTGCAAAAATTCGCGCTGTTCCATTATGAATCCTACCCTCTTGTTGGCGGACAAATCTCGGTGTTCGTCGCCCGAATGGGAAAAAAGCCAACAAGCCCCCCCCCCCCCCCCCCCCCCCCTCCCCCCAAAAAAAAAAAACCTAAAAAAAATTTTTTTTTTTTTTTTTTTTGATAATTGCACGTAAACTGGCGAAGGTTTTTGCCGCAGCCAAGGCGAACTTTCTAGAGCAGTTTGTCCTTCTCGCGAGAGCGCTCAGGCTATGTCGACATCGAGCGCCCACTCCAGCGATATGACATAACCCCCCGCGTAGTACAAGTACCACACGCCACGTGCATCGAGTTCCTGGGCACGAATTCTTCAAATTAAGCGAGACCTTTTGGAGGCCTCCGAAGGGAATCCGTCGCAGAGTGGAACACCTGCCGCGCCCTTCCACCAACGGCGAAGCTGTATAGCCCAGTAAACAAGACTCCTCGATCGCCCAACAGGTTCGACAAACCAAGTAAACAATAGACGGCTAGACAGGCAGGCAAACTCAAATGCGGAGAAGCGTTACCACCGCAATGTTCAAAACACAGTTGCGGCAGCGAGATTTAGTAGTAAGTGATTAACTATAAACTTATAAGGGTATGTGCGCGTAAAGCATCGAAGGTAACGTGGGAGGGCGCCGAAGCGACCACCGAAACGTTGCCGAAGCCAACCGTTCGTGTACGGACCTCGCTTCTCACCCAACCAATGCCGACGGTAGCTGGACGGCCTCACGGACACGGGGTAGTCCCGTAGTTTAATGGAGCTAGGAACCCCTGATAATAGTAGTAGAGGCGATCGGAAGAGTGCATTGAGCAAGATGCGTACGAGCCACGATGACGCAATCGCGCCGGCGTGCTAAAACATAAACAATTAAATTTTATTTTATTTATTTTTCGTCGGCTCTGGTCCGTGTGGCGGCAAGAAACGAACAAAAGTAGGGGTGGGAAATGTCGGGAAAACACATTGAGCATAGGTCCGTCGTCACGAACGGAGCTAGTTATTCATTTGCATACAGGGAACCGTGCCTCATGCGCGCACGCCCAAAACGAACCGATCTCACCCGAGACCTTGGACAACAACACAAATGCTGCAAAGATTTCCTACGAGCACGTTACGAAGATAATGATGCGATTGTCGGAGTACTAAAGTGACCTTAAACAGCGGCGGAGAACTTTCTCAAATCCAGGGCATGTAGACACTGAACATACACGATGTTTCTTTGGAATCAATCAACTTCTCCCATTCACAACCTGTTCATTCAAAACTTTCTCGATTTAATGATCGTATCGAAATGAGAATAAAAACAGATCGCCTGATCAACTGGCCTATTTATGGGAAAGCCTTTCGGCGTACTCACGATTAGGTCCGTAAAATTTATAGAGTAAGAAAAACATACATTCCGTGATTGATCTTTAAAAGTCGACTGCCGGTGCCGCTAGCCCGGCGAACTTTTTTTCTTTTTTTTACAATTGAAGTTTATTTTTTTTTAATTATGAAGTAAAACTGCACAAACGTGGCGAGTGAAAAAATAGCGACTTTTTATTTCTAGCAAGGTCAAGGCGATAGGACAAGAGAGCAGGAATCTCTTGTCACATGGCACGCCGAAACGCAATTCGAACGGGCAGCAGAACGAACAAAGACTGGGCGTCCGCCATATTGAAATCCGCAGAGGAAAAAGTCGGTTGTCTTACCTGATTGAGATCAGGTTTTACGACAAGAGCGTTCCCATCGGAAGCCTAACGTGTTCAATCCCACGAGATGAACATCCGATGCAGCCTATGACGCATCTTCTGGTAATCCGTGCGGGCTTGTCGTCATTATTTTCGCCACAAATCTTGGTCACTCCACAATACTTATAAACATCCTCCTACTTCTGAATCGTAAGCTCAAAATGGCCGCCCTGCGCCGCCGTTCGGAGCATGCGCGCGGAGGAAGAAGCGCGTGACGTTCCAAAAGAAATCAACGCTTTCCGGTTTCCCAGGACAACAGCCCAGTGTTGCCCGACGTGAAAGGAAAATACGTGCGTTTTTTCTCCAGAAAACGAATGCGCGTTTCTATTTTCGCCGTCGTTTTAGAATTAGTGTAAATTTTATATACAATTTTAATACAGGTAGTATATCCTTCATAATCTAGGCAGTAATATACTAACCAAACATAGGGAAATATTAACAACAATAAACAGAAGAGTTTCGGTTTTGATATGGTTGCGGTGGTTTTGGTTTATTTTTCATTAAACGCTATCTTTCGAAAAAAATGTGACGTTGTATTCATTTTTAAAAATATATCGCGGACATTACTAGAATTTTTCTTATATAATAATTGATTTATGAAACGTGTCCACGAGCGTAAATGACAGGGGAGGGTGAGGGAGGTATTTAGTAGTTATGGTAATAGGTACTTTTTAGCAAACCGCTACCACGCACGAGTGATACCACGACCGCGCGCACCCGCGGAACACGGTAACGGTGTGCTAAAAGTCCCCATTATTTAATATATGCGCAAAGAAGAAGGGAAAGAGGTGGGAAAGTGAAGAGTGAAAAGACTACACACATTATTTAAAAGGGGTTTAGCAATTAGCCTGGGCAAAGGAAGCTTTGCCCAGTGCGTTTTCAGCAGTCGCTGATCTGTAAAGGGGCTGCAAATAGGCTGTTTCTGAACCGGTCTATTTTCATTTTATTTCATTACCCTAGAGACACACTTTCGAGCGCATTACATGAGGGGGAAAGTTGATTGCATACATATAAAGTAAAATATAAAATATAGAGTTCATAAATTCACAGATTCACTTACAGTAACAATCAAAGTTTTAAAAAGAAAAAGAAAAAACACTAGGAAAAGCATTGTCTTAACTATTTTGCGATTTTTTTTATTATTTTATTTTGTGGATAACGTTTAATCACTCCAACGCATTTGAACAAGTGTAAGCAGAAGCTCCGCCAAATATTTCATAGATTTTTGATTAAACAAGATAATATTATTTAAAAAAACGTCGAATTAATGAAAGATGAAGAATTGTTTGTTTGCAGGTACATCTCACATTTTGTTGTAAAGGTTGTGTGGTTTGTCTCCGATATTATTGCATGCTGTTCCAATCATTGGTGCATATTAGAAAAAGGTGAAGGTGAGAATAACATTGGGTGCGAGATTTCACATGGGAGGCAAGTTTGGCTAAAAATTGACAGGATGTTCACAATGGCATGGAATAGACATTGTCTGCCCAACCGACGACGTTTATTGAAAAATGACTGTTACCAAGCTGGTTATCGTTTTTTTTTTCTTTTTAAGTAACGTGACGCTGCTAAAAAAAAATGCGCGGTTTTATTTTGAATTTATTCCAATTGGGGCGTTCCTGTCAGAACCGGCGCATACTACTTCTAGTGATTAAAAAGGCTTAGTTTTTTGGATACTTAAAATTTCGTTATCTGCATGTTTAGACCAGTTTGTCGTTTCTGAGAAGTGAAACATAAGTACTTCCAATAAGACAAATATCTTGTCGATGTTTCGCGTCAAAGGGAAAGATTTAAAAGACGATTAAAGCTACTTCTGTCGAGAAAAATAAGGCCTCTGTTTTTGTTTGTGTTTATATTATTATTCCTAAGCCAATCAGTGCACCACCTCCAATTCTGTCAAAGTAATAACAATAATCGGATGTATAGAACATTTTTATAAAGTAATGACTTTTTTTCTTTCTCTCTCTTTTTTTTTTATCGCCCCAAAATAAGGATAGCAATATGAAGGTTTACGGGTTGCAACATTGATGTTTCCTGCACACATCCATGCAATGTCGCGGTCGTTGCACAAAGGATGGCTGTTGTAAGAATCCATGAAAATGGTGTGTCTGTGTCTTGACATCCGTTACCAGCAACTAGCTGTAATCAGGGGCACAGAAAAGAAAAGCCCGCGGGGAAAATGTAAAACCATTCGTGTGCTGTGTATGGAACTTGCTCAAGTGAATACTGAGTGAAAAAAAAAAAAAAAAAGCTTCAGGAGGTTGACAGACGGAGCTGCATGATCGGTCGCAGTCGGAGCGTCCTGCCACCGGCCCACCGCCGCCAACCCAAACATGTAGCAGCGCCCCAATGAATTTATTCGTGCGAATTTGCACATTACGAGCCGACGGTGAGCTCTATAGATCTTGTAGTGAGTGCGCAGGCGAGCTGGTGGAAATTAACCATTCTGATGTTAGCCTGAGACTGAGGCAGGAAACTTCCTCTTTTCCTGCCTCAGTCTCAGGCTAACATCAGAAAAGAGCTCTATAGAGTCAGCAAAGGGAGTGCATTTCCAATTGTAGACGTTACTGCAATTATAGACGTTACTGGCATGTGTGGTGAAAGAGGAGTCCAAGAGACTTTTCTCCAGCATGACAACACCCGCCTTCAAATATCTCAAAAGCCAGGAGGCACCATACCTCTATAAGCCTGACTTGGCGCTGCCAGATTTTCATATCTTACGCCACTAAAAGATGCAGTGCGCTGAGCAAGGCTTGAAAGCAACCAGCATCATTTTGTCGAGTAAGGAACATAGCAACAGAAGCAGAAAATGAACAGAAAATGCATGCATGCCCTTGTTCCACGCTAGCGCATAAGGCCACAAAATTAAACAAAAATTAAATAAAAAAAACATATATATATATATGGGCGGTTTTATTTGGATTCAGGTAACGAGGTGCGGTCGTATTTTTTAGTTTTCTTCAAACATTTCTATTACGTGGAGCATGTTCCAAGTAGAACAATCGTTTTTATGTTAATGTCCTGACATGTTTAGTTTCTGAGAAAAAAAAATCTCAAAGAAGGGGGAAAGAACGACGAGGTTTTGACGATTGTCGTGTGTGGCGTTTTTGAATCCCTCTCAATCTCAAAGTATTCAAAAGAGAGGTTCTATATTTTTTATTGTGATATATATGCAACTAGGTAAAACGACATTACAACTATTATTTATTATTCGTCACTCCAATTTTTGTAAAAATCCCCAAAACATGACTTAGCGAACAACTGTAACCGAAACTGCGGGTTCTTTTTTTTTTTTAGTCGATTATGTTTAGTATTGCTTTTAAAATAATACCACGTGTAGAACCTTTCATTGCCTACCACATTATGCAAAGTTTGTGTCTTAATCATGCACGAGTAATGAGAAATGAATTATGAAACAGAGGTTTTCACCCTTTGTTCAATTTCAGCACGCTGTATAGAAAAATGCTTTTTAATTTTAGTTTTCTCGCATCGCGTTTTCTTCACACCCTTCTTTTAGCCAGACTACATTCTGTTAGGGGTATATGCACTAGTCTCGAGTTTCAAGCCTCTAAATATGTTTAAAAAGAGCAAATGCCGATGGTGGCGGGTTTATGGGTTATATTGACGATTGTCGTGTGTAGCGTTTTTGAATCCTTCTCAATCTCAAAGTATTCGAAAGAGAGCTTCTATATTTTTTTTTATTGTGACATATATGCAAGTACGTAAAACTACATTCCAACTACTATTTTTTATTCATCGCTCCCTCTTCGTAAAACTCCCCAAACATGCCTCCGCGAACAACCGTGACCTAAACTGCGGATTTTTTTTTTTTTTTTAGTCGACTATGTTTAGTATTGCTTCTAAAATAATACCACGTGTAAAACCTTTCATTTCCTTCCACGTTATGCAAAATTTGTGTTTTAATCGCGTATGAGTACTTAGAAATAAATTATGAAACAAAAAAAAAAAAAGGTTTTCCTTTCTTGTTCAATTTTAACACGCAGTATAAAAAAAATATGTTTTCACGTCGCTTTTTTTTTTTTTTTTGCACTTTTCTTTTAGCCAGCGTACATGTTGGGTTTATGGGTTATAGCCGTATATTTTGTTCTTTATTATAAGAATCTAAGGGACGTTTAATAAATATGGCATAAACGACATTAATGCCGTTAGGCGTATAATAACAAGTTTGCGATTCCAAACGTCTAAACACTCTATAAAATCGCAACTGCCGAAAGCAGGGTTTGAGACAATTTTCGCCGGTGCCACGATTAAAGAGGCCTCAAGCGTAAACCCTACGCGCTACATAATATATACTATGTTAGAAATGTCAAAGTATAATATTGTAAAACATTTGAGTAAAATGTCGTTTTACCTACTTGCATATATATCGCGATGAAAAATATATAAGCTCTCTTTTGAACACTTTGAGATTGAGATTCAGAAACGCCACGTATGACCATCGTCAGAACCTCGTCGTTCTTTTCCGCTTCTTTGAGTTTTTTTTTTTTTTTTTTTCTCAGAAACTAAACATGTCAGGACATTAAAAAAAAAAGGATTGTTTTTATTTATTTATTTATTTATTTATTTATAATACCCTCAGGGCCACAAGTGGCGTTACAGAGGGGAGTGGGTTTACATGAAGTAGTTGGTGATGGCGTCCCGAAATCTTCCACTGTCGGTGATGCCGATGAGGTTCTCGGGGAGGTCATTCCAGTCCACAATCGCAGATGGTAAGAGCGCCTTCAGGTGTGCGAGGGTGAAGCATTGAGGGCGGGCGATCTTACAAGGATGGTCAATTCTAGCCGAGATGTATGATGGGGGGTTTAAGAGAGATTGTTTAAAGATGGGCGTATAAAATACCTTGTGAAGAAGACAAAGGCGAGAGATCCTACGACGTGAAGATAACAGCGGAAGGTCAAGGTGAGCTTTCATTAACGAGACACTCGAAAAACGGGAATAATCTTGGAACATGCGCCACAAAATATAAAATTTTGAAGCAAAATAAAAAAAATACGACTGCACCTCGTTGCCTGAATACAAATGAAACCTCCCATATAAATACACTGTATATGTATATAGCATGTATACAAGATAGGTGCAGTAATGTTAGGTGTGAATTCCGTATATACTGAATAAACGGTGTCCGAGACAGAAAAAAAAAAATGCGAGGCAGTATTTTCTGAGCAACCCTCGTGTATATATATAACGC